AGTGATAGGATGTCTGATGAATCATTACCAGTAATCACAATATCATCAACATATACAACCAGTAAGATAACACCAGACTCAGTTTGTTTATAGAAAACAAAATTGTCCGACTTACTCATCTTCATTCCAAAGTTCTCAACCACCTGACTGAATTTTCCAAACCATGCTCGTGGACTTTGTTTCAACCCATATAAGGATTTACGAAGACGACATACCTTTCCATTCTCCCCCTGAGCAACAAAACCTGGTGGTTACTCCATATACACTTCCTCTTGAAGATCACCATGGAGGAAGGAATTTTTAATATCAAGTTGATGTAACGGCCAATGGTGAATAGATGCCAAGGAAATGAATAACCTAATAGAAGCCAATTTAGCAACCGGAGAAAAAGTATCACCATAATCAATTCCATAAGTTTGCGCATATCCTTTAGCAACAAGGCAAGCTTCCAAACGGGCAATGGATCCATCAGGATGAACTTTAACAGCAAACACCCATTTACAACCGATAGGTTTCTTTCCTGCAAGAAGAGACACTAAATCCCAAGTACCATTGTCATCTAAAGCAGTCATTTCCTCCAACATAGCAGCCTACCAACCAAGATGAGACAAAGCTTCATGAATAGTTTTAGGAACAGATACCGACTCATGGGATGCAAGAAACGAACAAGTAGGTGAGGACAAATGGTTATATGAGACAAAAGAAAAAAATAGGATAAGTACATTTACGCTTACCTTTTCAAAGAGCAATAGGAAGGTCACCACTTGTTCCTGGATCCTCACGCAAAGAAGTTGCTGGTATAGGGCATGAGTCCGTAGGAGGTTGCCGACGATAATAAACTTGAGTAATGGTGGGAAGAGAAGGATCAGGCACATAGAAAGATGTATTGCTAGGAAGCTCTCCAATAGAAGGAGAGACAATGAAATAGACAAGAAAGTCATCATCTTCTTGTGAACGCTCCCCCTGACTGGTACTCAAATATGATGAAAAATGAGTATCTTCAAAGAATGTAACGTTGAGAGTGACAAGATATCTATTGAGATCAGGACAATAACATCGATACCCTTTTTGAACACGAGAATAACCAAGGAAAATGCATTTCAAGGACTTGAGGTCTAATTTGGTGAGCTGAGGACGAACAGCACGAACAAAATAGGTGCAACCAAATATTTTAGGTTTAATAGGAAATAAAGGTTGCATAGGACATAGAGTACGATAAGGTATCTCACCCTTAAGAACTAAGGAAGGCATGCGATTGATCAGGAAGCAAGCCGTCGAAATAGCATCGACCCAAAAGTATTTTGGAACATGCATTTGAAACATTAAGGCCCTTGCTGTTTCGAGAAGATGTCTATTTTTCCTTTCTGCAACTCCATTTTGAGA